CCCCCCCCCCCCCCCCCCCCCCCCCCCCCCCCCCCCCCCCCCCCCCCTCCCTCGTCGCTTTCCATCGTGTGCTCTGTCAGTAGCTCACGTATGATCCGAGTTGTGCATTACGAGAGCAAAAACGACGAACACTTTCATTGGAATCTCTCCAAGACCCCAATATGATTACGAAGGGGAGGAAAAGATGTAGCTCAAGAATCCTCTCTGGATCCAAGTCACTTGTCAACAAGTGTTGACAAGTGACTTGGATCCAGACACAAAAATAAGGCCGTAGGGAGGGGAGACGGGGGAAGGAGATAGGCTTACATCAGCCAAAGTTCTCTCCATTGGCTCAGAGCCAATGATAGAAGAAACATGAACTTAAACAGCAGCAATATCTAAGGAGTCACGTGTGTGTCAACGAGGGGGGGCAGTCCCCCCCACCTCCAGTGGTTCCATTTTGCTTTTTTTTCTTTCTCCCTTCGAAGAGAATGACTCAGGAGTCCAGGAATGCCCGAGCGACCTTGGAATACAGATAATAAAAAACTGCCTCTCCATTACACACTGTCCAAAAGAGCTAAGACTGGAACCATCATCCCCACAATGCCAGGTCGAAATGGGTCAGATCGTAACAATGTGAGCATGAAAAATCGAAAAAAAGCAATGGAACGCCAGAATTTAAAAATCAGTTCCCAGGGAGGATGATCAAAACTGCAATCTTCAAGCTGCCACAGGTCACTTGGTTGGCCTTTCAATGATCGGGTGATTTTTTATTATTATTTCAACAGAATTTTGGTGAAAGAAAAGTCAAAATGATCCTCTCATTGCATGGCCTCTGCTTTACTGAAGGAGGAAGATGAAAAAAAAGAAGAAAAGAATTAGTAATGGGATGAAAACCTATACTAAGGGTATCATAAAAGTAAGTTTTGCAAAAATGTGAAAAACACTTGCATTAGCAGGTTACTTCTTACCAAACATACTAGGACTACTGAAAAAAAAAAAGGCACACATTCCTGTCTGGTTTCACGAAACATTCAAGTAAAATAGTAGATGAAAGATAGCTGAGATTGCTAGCAAAAATTGCCAAATAATTTCTAACCATTATGGGAAGGTCTTGGAGAGAGTACACCAAGTCATGAAAACAGTAGGATAAGGATGAATACATTCAATGGTCAATTGGTGGCTTGACAATGAAGATGCACTGAAAAACATGCATGCAGCAAGTGCCACCGACTATGAAATCGATTTTAAAGAGGGGGAATGATAGGAGGAAGACTGCAGAATTGCAAATTCCAATACTAATGTTCAATATGCACTCTCAACAGATATGTTGGCAGCTTTTGCTTCACGGGAAATGTGATTCTGCTTTCTTCCACCAACTACTTTCACACATTTTCATTTCCCATGGACATGTACTTCGTTATAGACCTTCCATAGGTGAACATCCAGCATCAATTGCATTGAATCAGTTCCAAACACTTTCTTAACTTGATACACTACCTCTAGAGGTTTTCCCCAAAAGTTTGAACTTCTGACATTTTTCTCTGACAACAATTAAATTAACAATAGCTCAAAATAGCATCCCATTTCATTACTGTTTTATTTGATAATTTTAGGAACTAAAAAAAATTGAGAAATTTTTAAATTTCATTTCAGTGGTCCCAGAGCATTAATTACTGTTTATATCATTTATATATTTACATTATCAACAACCAGTCAATATAATAAGGTTGGTCTTAAATACATGGAATTTTATTTCCTGTTTTCTAGATATTTCATTACCATTTTTAGTATGCATAAGGTAAACTAGCAAAATGAAGCTTTTTTTCTCCCAAAATATAATTATTCCAACTTGGTCAGAAACATCTTCACTCTGAAAAGGTGAGTTCCAAATCAAATAAGGAATTCCCTGTGATCTTTGACTAGAGAATAAAAAATCCTGATGAATTATCAAGAAAAGATTTATTCATCAATAATATCTAAAGATAAAATAATTTTTTTTGCATATTTTGTATGTAAAAAATAATTTCACATTTGGCATTAAGCCCCATTTCTTCCTTGTGTTCCATATTCAAATTGGTTCAGCTATGATAAAATTGAATCTGACTCTTTGACAAATCTTGTCTTCTAGACTTAATAAATGATATGATAGCATTTTTCCAAGCATCCTTTTTAGCTTTTCCATGTCACGATGACCACACAGCACTGTCATGCTTGATCATATCCAGTACACATTCACCACATAAAATGTTAATCTCAGAATCACAAGCAGGAGCTCATTATTTTACTGGAACCTATTCCAATTTCAATAGCTCAAATATGGTTCAGACCATTAGTTTTTGTCAAAATTTGTCAGGAGCGGTAATCCGCATTCTTGCTTGCCTTACCTTCTTTTTGACACGATAAACTAGACATAGCTGGTTTATTTAGGGCATTCTACAAGAGAACACACCAGCATCCTGCATTGCCAGTTGGAGTAATTACACTGCTACTACAGATATTTGGCTTATATAGGCTCATGGATCTGTTTGAGTAGCTGTAACACTTTCACATGTTTATAATGAAGTAACCAGTGAGCCTACAATGACGTGATATGAATCAATTGTTAGGAAAACTCAAAGTTTGTCATGGATGTGGGAAAGTGTTTTGCGCTTGTGCCACCAGGGGAGACTGTTGCAAAAATGGCAACTCCACAACAAAATTCTCAAATTCAGTTCACATTCTCTTCCAATACACAAGGTCAACCAGTGCTTTTCCCTTTGCAGATACAACCTTTATCTTCAAACTGCCGGCACCAACTGTAAATGGTCTTCCTAGCTGGTGGATCAATTCTGAAACACATGTAGAACAGCCGTTGCACAGCTGCTACAGAGTTGGTCTTTGCAAACTGCAGGACATAGAACGCCTTTTGTTGTGGAGTCACCATTTTTGCAACAGTCTCCCCTGGTGGCACAAGTGTGAAACACTTTCTTGCATCAATTACAAACAAACTTTCTGAGTTTTCCTAAAAATTGATACATATCACATCATTGTAGGCTCACTGGTTACTTCATTATAAACATGTGAAAGTGTTACCTTCTTTTTTAATTACCGTGTATTTTAATTCTATTTTTCAGATATCAGACTCCTGGGAATAGCAAAGAGCACAGACAGGTAGGACATGGGAGCTACACAGATATGCATGTCATGGCCATACCCCATTTCATAATGGTCATGATAGGTCTACCATGAGTCTAAATTCAATTCAATATTTTCCTTAATGTAGCTAGAATTTACCAAGAGGTATCATTATGGGTCAAGATGTATGAAATTCAGTCATGTCTGACAAAGGCAAATGCTTGTTCATTCTTTTACAAGGTTTGGAATATATATATATATATGCCCCATGGTAGGGCAACATCCTGTTTAGAAACAACATACTGAGTTATAAGGAAAAATATTTAAACATTAAATCTTAACTCATTACATTTCTTTCATTTTCATATTTAAGACCACATGAAAAAACTATTGTTTGCATTGTTAATGTAAATAATACTGAAGACAAAATACAGGGCTAATGTTTCTACTTGTGGACTTCCTCCCATTTATGGAATTTTGGAGTAGTTCAAGGGAAACTCATTTTACTACACCAGCTAAACAAACCACTTACTTTTAATTTCTCAATTCAGATTTTAAAGAACAAAATGGAACTACTCCACAAATACCTCTATTAGTATTTTCCCCCTTGATGCGCCTGGAGCACACCATATGAAGGCCTAGGATGCCATGCAGCATAGTGACAGGTGTGTGTGTGGTGGAGCCTAAGCAAATCTCAATGTGCACAATGGTGTGCATAGGGGGTGGGGGGTGTGTGCATACCATATTACCTGATAAAATAACATTAACCATGATCATATAACCAAAGATTTAATGTCCCTCTCCAGATTTTCTATTCAAACTGCTTTGCTAGACACCTATAGAGGACCCAAGAAAATTAAGAAACTACTGTTATTTGAGAGTTCATGGAAACATGAAAATTTGATTGCTGGCAAAAAGCACTGTCTCTTCTCAGTCTTGATATGACCTTACATTTTTCAATAATTTTTATATTGGCTTTCATGGCGTCTTTTGTCTTTAAATTTACCCTATGGGCAAGTAATGTACAGTAATTTAAACACCACGATGTCCTAAAATGAGCCAACTCAAACGAGTACTTAAATTTTCACAAGTCACTTAGCCATATGCTATCCGTTTGACAATTGTATTATTCATCAATGAAATCTCGATGATGTAAAAGAATGCTTTTTGTCACCATAGATTAGGTTCAATCCAGAAATGAATCCCAGGCTAGGCCTACAAAAAGCGAACAAATCATAGGCTACATCTGCGCGAGAAAGCCGAAACCAAAAAACTAGGTCTAACGTTAAGACCATAAAACAGGCTTAGGAGAAAACGCAATCAAAAGGATACTGTTGAGTGGTATATCTTGGTGCGAACCCTTGCTGCTGATGCTGTGATATCTGCTGTTTCTGTTTGCTAGGTATAACGTTAAAATTCATTTCATGGGGCTGAGGAGCTGAGAGCGTGCGGTCCGCATTGGACCAGTCTCCGATTCTCGCATGGAAATCTCCTGAAACACGAGAACACTACTCATTCCCTCACCCGCAGTACTGTGTAAACCTTTTGGGGCTGTTTTTAAGAGTCTTGATGAGTTTGTTCCTGAAGAAGCACAGAAAATTCACGCTCAACCAAAGCTCTTGCACGCACCTACCTTCTGCGGTTCCGCAAGGAGACAACCCCGAAGATGACGTCACTCTACCTTCGGCACTTTCCGTTCAGCCGCCATCATGTGAACGGAAATGGGTTTGCAATTTTCTCACCTTCATTTCGCTTTTACCCAACTATATATGGCTGGAGAATTCGAGAGAACCAAGAAATTTTTATCTTTAAATTACCCTAGACTGTGACAACAAGAATTTTGGATATTGTGCCACACGTCGACGCGATCTTAGGGACTAAAAATGCAAAAAGGGAGCTTCTCCTGATGAAAGAGGTCTCAACTTGCGTCCAAAACTAAGTAATTTTCAAATAGAGTGCAAAATTATCCAACTTTTCTGATTACGTGGGAGAGAAGTAGTCACGTGTTGGTCACATTTCCGGGGGAGGCGTCTTCGACGATGAATCATAAGATGGCTGCGTCAATGAGGATGGTGGCGCGCAGATCGAGATGTCCTCTGCGGGTATAAATGGCCGAGCGGCACAATTTCTATTGCTTAGTCGCTTGGGGTTCTCGCAGCGATTGAGAAGTCATCGCTTCGGAGCATTCAAGCGCATTGACGTGCGGAATTTGGCTATAGGTCGTGAGATGGACGAAGGAAAGGCTCGGGAGATATATATTCCTGTTCCATGGGGACAGATTGCCGGTATGTTTCCACTGGATTCATTACTCAAGCGCTTTATTAACAGGTACTTTCCTGGCATGGACTGACCGGACTTCCAGGTTTCTCAGGTCTGTTAGCGTATACGCAAGTTGTCGAGCAGCAACATGTGATAAAGTTTTCCGAAATTTCCTTCCAAAAGGAATTTCCTTTTTAACTACTATCAACTACTGTTGATGTGTGTGCCCAGACGATGATTCCGATGCCCTGATGATAAATTTATTGTTGGACTCATTGTACACCTAGACCTACAATCACACCTTCATATTCAATTTGGGTTGAGTACTTCATCTCGGAAAAATGAAAGGCTCACTTGCATGAATCAGGAAGTAAGTTGTACAGTGTTCGTCGTACGAATACGTTTGCAAATTCCTTGTTGAAACAAAACTTGAATGTGTTCCAAGGCCATTGCAGTGATGTGCCCATGGGGCAGTAGGTTTTGGGGGTCATAAACCCCCCATCATTGAGGTAAATTTTACAGATTCTCAATTTTTTTTTTTTATTGGCTATGTATGATGGGTGGGTTACCAATTTGTTACATCAACACCATTGGGATTCTCTGGGCATGCTACTAGGCCATGATATATTTATTTTACTTCTTTTTTTTTTTTTTAGTGAAGGACCATAATTATTCCTCAGTCTTTAGAGGCATAGCCTTCTTTCAAGAAGGAAATTTTATTGTGCATAGAAATGCAGAATGTTCCCAGATCCAGAACATTACCTAGCAAGCAATCACTAATGCTTGACTGACATTTCCTTGCCCTCTTCTGGTATTCAGTACCATTTGCATTGTGCATTTTCCACTTTTATAGTCAGATTATGTGACATGCTATGCAGCTTTACTGTATTTCTTTGCCCTGCTTCATAGCAAAATAAGAGCAATAACCTTCTGCATACTGTGGTATTTGGTCCCAAATACCTTTTATATTTCATAAATCAATGTATGTCTGTAATGAACCTTGTCCCATCTTATCTGTGGGAATCCCCACTCTGAGGTTGGAAGAGCTTCCTTATCTGTTGTTCCTCCTCTCATCTGAATTATGCCTGAATCACCTGAATCATTGCCCTGTCATCTCACTGTGAGAGTATGCTTGTTAGTTTTTTGGATTTTAAATTGAACTTCATATTTAGATTGTCAGAAATGAAAAGTTGATAGGCACATCTTGCAGACAAATTTCTCATGGCATGTCGTTTACATTTTGAAATTTCATTGGACTAGGACTAAGGAGTGTTTTGTGTGAACTCCTTTTTTATGAGAAAGTCAATAACTCTTGTATATAAAAGATAACAATTTGTACAAATCAGGTGATTGAGTCAAAAGTGACATGTGACAGTGCATTGGATGTCATCTTAGGCCAACTAACATAGCTAAGACTGCTAGAGCTGGCCCAACCCTTCCACTGCAGGCAGCTGCCTGAGGGCAGCAGCTACAATCTGATAGATGGGTTGGCTAACAACTGTTAATTTGACTTAACTTTCACAATATGCAAGTTTCTTGCTTCTCATTTTTAACATAAAATACTAAGCAAATTAAGTAAGTGGATTACTTTTTTATGGAAGTACTACAGAATTGTGCTAGTAAACCTACCATCAGAACTTCACTCAAAGTCGTTTATTTAAGCAAGGACAACGATGCTTTTAAAATTTTGAAAAAACTCCTCAATCATAGGTAGACAGACAGTGCTATGCTGGTCCAGAAGAAATTAGATAGCAGAGGAACTTGGAACACGCAATTTTCTGGTTATTTCTAGTTGAACTTGGAAGTTGAAATTTGCAGAAATTTTTTGCTTTAAAAAGTTTGCTCTTAAAGAAATATGATTCCTGTGGGTTTACAAGCATCGCTCCTACAGTGCTTATCAAATGAATGCAGTGGGCGGTGGCGCTGCTGGCTGTGAGAAGAGAGTGACATCTGTTTTTCATCCCATAAACTATCCCATACTATCCACATTGCGATCCCAGCAAGGTACCCAACTACCATAGACCAGAATGATACCTTGAAGGAGCTTTGCAAACTTGACATAATACAGCTGGTCAGAACGAGCAGGAACCAACATTCCTTTAAAAAGCTCGAGTGAAGTGAACCTTGAGGAATGTCAGAGTACCAAAGTAAAAACGATATAGACACCTTGTCATCGATGCAATCACGAAATCAGTCATACATATAATTCTGAAGCATTTTTATTTTTAACTTTAATCATACATGAAAGGACACACCTGGCAAAATGTCACATTTCTCAATATTCCGGAAATCCGAAGAGGAGTTATGTGAAATTATAATTGTTAACTTTCTGAATCCTTGGTTTTCACGGAAGCTTTCTTTTCCCTTTCCCTTCTAAGAAAACCTTATATGGAAGACGATCTACATTCGATGTACTCTTAACAAATAAGAAATGGACTAGAATCCAGTTGATGCCTAAGTTAATTGATAAAATTGATAAAATGTTGAAATGCAAGAAATTTGAGGATAGAATGTAAATGAGAAAAGTTGAAAATGCTTTTTATTGGACACAGTACTCAGCACAGTTGTATTTTCCCTCCTCTGAGTCTAAATAATGATTATGAAATCCTTCGTTAGTCAATGGGTATCATTGACGTGATCAAAATGAATGAGAGAAAGAAGTTAGGGGCATGTCATTATCTCTCCAAAAGAGTATTTCATAAATTAATACAATTTATTTTGTTGGAAGACTAAACGAGATTTAAATGGAACACTCAGAATGGATGAATACACTTTCCCCTACCGCTTAGAATGTAGGACATAGCGACATGGGCGACATCTACCTTGATTGGTTGTTATTAGCAGTTACAGCATCCGCAGATGCGTAATAGAAAAGCATGGTGAGTCATAGGAGCCCATAGTAAGAGGGGGGTGAATTCATTCGATAAGCACTGTAGTAGTCTTGGCCTTGCATACCCAGCTGATTTAGCATATTTTTTACCATTAACTACAACTTTTGACTTTAAACCAATTTTTTCAAATTATGTGCAAATAATGTACAGAAATAATTGCCATTATCCCCATGAAGTTTTTGCATGATTCATCTGCAAATGCAAGTAGTTGTCTCTGGGAATGAGTGCTATCTCCCATTTGAAAGTTCCAACTTTGGTTAATTGACTTCCATTCTATGATGTTTCATGTTTTTTTTACCGCTTTATTTCAACAATGGTTCAAGGAAAGGGAAAATTGCATTTTCCTTGAGGTATCTTGATTCAGTTTTCTTCTGGAGTAATGGAAATGATGTTAGCAGTAGTTGCAAAACCAGGTAATTTGGAATCTTCTGAGTGGGGAACAATATAATCGAAGCATATCAAGAATGAATTCAATGGGAATTCTGTTTCCAACTAGGGAGATTTAAAATCATCCTAAATTTCACTTAACCCCATGACAAGGAATTGAAGAATGTTCTTTTTTTTTCTTCATAAATGGCACATAGCAGGGAAAGGTTTATGTTAAAGAAGTATTAGCAGATGCATCTTAGAATGTTTATTGTTGAGATATGTTGAGATGAGTTTATTTCTTGATTATGAAATTTCAGCAGAAAGGGTTAGAAATATATGGAAATAAATTTCAAGTGAAGTTTGTTCTTATATACATTTTTTTAATTTCCTTTAATCTAATTTTTTGCTTATCCATCATCAAGGAATAACTCTCTTGGGTTGCATAATATACAGGGTGGCACAAAAGTCATGCACCATATGAGATTTCACTGTCACACAACATTTACCCTTCTTTGCAGGTAACTGATGGCTACAAAATTAATAAAAGATGAGAATGTGGAGTAAAAAAATATGGCTAAATTGTACGTATTTTGAACTATACTTTTTGCCAAGAAAAAAGGAATGCCAAGGTGTTCACCAAACTGTAGGAAATTTGGTGCACAAGCTCATAGCTGCATGTCATGGAATCGATTAAGAGTTTCAAGGATATATTGGATGAATAATCACAGAGAAAGCTTCCCAAGTACCTCAATCCAAAATGAACATCCAGAGGGAGTTGATCAATGAGATGCAAAGTAGAAACTCTCTGTCTGTGAGGGGATATAGCAAAGTTTCAAGGTCAGAAGATAAAGCAACTCAGAGATAAGTTTCCAAATGCCTGAGGATTGGGAAATGAGGGGAGTATCATTGATAGTGCTTGTTTTCTTTTTCTCTCAAGTCCCTTTACTCTTGGGCAATTGTTGAGTGTTTTAAATGCAAAACTATATTGTCCCTGGAAGCAAATTCATCAACTTATCCCAGCATATAATCAATGTATGTCAGTGGGGATGATTAGAATCATGCTGATGCTCAATTGATCTACATTAATCTAATGCTCAAACAAGTTGATGAAATATCCTTTAGATTCTTTGCCTAAGCATGGCTTCTCAGTTGAATGCTGAACAATCTTGTGAGATATAAAAAGATAAGGAAAGTAGCATTATCAGTGGTGCCATCCTTTTTAGTCCATTCCTTGGGAATTCAACAACTTTCTTCTGCATTGCCTCATCCTGTGACCTTGAATATTTGTTTGGTTTTCCTAAGCCTTTTGAGTTCCTGTTCAGCATTTAAATCCTAAGCTTCTGGATGTTCTTTTAGGGGAGGGCAGCCACAAACTCTGAGTCATTGGAATATATGGTTTACAAATGCTCAAAATGTTCCCCTTTCAACTCAAAACATGTTTTGATGCAGTATTTCCAAATGACATGAACCTAGTGAGGCAAACCATTCTTGCTATCAATGGTAGTCTGTCTGTGGTCCATTCATGGAGATGGTTCACATTTCAGATTTTGACTTGATACAATACAAATGGGCTTTTGCCATCATGTTTTCATGTGTCTCCTGTAAAACATGGATGACCTAAACAAGATTGATCAAGCTCACTATGTTGCTTTAAATTTTCTTAATAGCTTTGCAACAGCACTCTGGGTGATTTCTGCTTTCTCAGGGTGGAATTCATTGAGGTGATTTCCCACCTGTCATTGTGACCACCCCTCACCATGAGACCACAAAAATAATTGAATTTGTTCCTCTTTTGTCAAAGCCATGTTTAGAGCTTCAGTACAGATTTGTAATAAAACTTTATTTCCCATCGATTCCAGCCTTTGTGGACACCCTGTAGCATGACTTCCCTGCCCCCCTTTAACCCTTTGCAGTCCTTTGTCCCACTGGGTGGTTGTAGTGTTCTTTGAATAAAAAAAAGAAAGGTCTGCAAAAGGTTAATTTTTTGGTAACTTTCCTCTGAAGATTGATCTTATGCCCTTGGAGCTACCTGATTTCATGACTCTTATTAGTTTGTTTATTAAATTTAATCAAGATCTCTCAACTCCTTATTTAGGCTTCTTTTTTATGGCCATCTGTTGACAGTCCTGAAATTACAGATTATCTTTACTTAGGCTGAGGGACTTTGTGTATGTGATGCTCTCTATTACCATTGTGAAGGTTGTTCAAAGGCATTTTATACCCTCTTCATGCAATGAGAGTAATCACAGTCGTTTAATGTAAAGGTGAAGCTGAAAATTAATGTAAAACACTTGAAAGTAAAAACTATCACTCCTAAAACCACCTTGTACATGATTTTTTAAAGTAGAGAGATGTTGAGGTCATCTAATTGAGTGATCATGCTATGAACTGGCCTTGTAGGGAAAGGATGGGGGTCAGAAAATGGGAGGCCAATCCTGGCCCTCCATGGCTGGCTGGAGAATGCAGGGTCTTTTGACACACTGGTACCATTGATCCCCGATTCCTATCATGTGGTTGCTGTGGACATGCCAGGCAACGGGTTGTCCTCTCATTATCCGCCAGGAATGACCTATTCTTTTGCTGAGGGTCCACTACACATTCGGAGGATCCTGGAGTATCTGGGGTGGTCATCATGTACCTTCATGGGGCACAGTGGTGGTGGAGCAATGTCCATGCTCTTTGCAGCCATGTTTCCAAAAATGGTTGAAGGGATCATTGTTTTTGACCTTGTGAAACCTGTTTCAACCCCACTGGATAGAATTGTTTCTCGGGCTCAGCAGCACGTTGAAGAACACCTACGGTTTGAGAACGATCTTGCCAACAGAGTTCCTCCATTATACACAGAGGAAGAGGCTGTGAATAGACTCATAGAAGCTGTGGACAACTCCCTCACTGCAGAATCTGCTAAAATCCTGCTGAAACGGGGAGCTCGAAAAATGCATTATGGAGACAAGGAAGGCTATGTGTATACTCGAGATTTGAGGCACCGGTTCCCTAGTGCCATTGGGACTGTGGCTGACCAGCATCGGAAGTTCTTGGAACGTATTAAGTGCCCGTTCCTCCTTGTCAAGGGTTCCACAGGTCCCAAATATGAGGGATCCTTGGTACATGAGGAGACTTTGGCTTTTTATCGGCAGAATAATCCACATTTCCGATATGTGGAGGTTGAAGGAAGTCACCATGTGCATCTTAATAACCCTGAAAAAGTAGCTCCTCATGTCATTCCGTTCCTGGAGTACATTCAAGAGCACAAGGTTATGGAAGCTAATTTATAATCCTTGAACAATCCCATAGTATCTTCCCCCCCAGATTTTTCTCAGCGATGCATGGTTTCATTATTTTCCCAGTCTGGGTTCTATTTTATCACTTCTGTACATGGTTTTTTGAAATTGCAAATTTTATCTATTGGGATTGAAAAGTCTGATATGATTAATATCAGGGTAAAAATTTAGAGCATCATGTCCTCACATATGTTTGCTTCATGAGGAGGATTTACAGTTTTTATGATTGAAAGTCATGCGATTATATGCAAATGTCATGTACTCCAAATAAAATTTGATATTGCCTCTCAAACAGGTAGGGGGGCGCAAACATTATCTTCCTGATAAGCTTGTCTTCGTGCCTCATACATGGCAGCCAGCAGCTCTGATTCCAAAGGATAGTAGTACTTGTTTATCGTCTTCCCCTTGTTGTGGACATCCATCAGGTCCCCATCGGCGTCTGAAGAGAAAGACCAGCTGCTTTTGAGGAAGATGAATCATTATTCACTGTCATATCAGAGAATTTCTCACCGAAGAAGAGGACCCTTGGAACGTATCCACCATCGGGTGAAAAACGTTCACCGTCTGCTTTTGTGGGGTCGTCCTCGTCATGACAGTTCACTAAGATGAAATCCATTGATGCCTCATAGATGGCGGGTGAAGTAGCAAAGCGCTCTCGAAAGGCTGTGGAAAAGCCAAAGATACCGTAATGCCCTTGAACCAAAGGCAGAAATGCGAAATGTTTTTTTTTTTTAGGCTTTGTTTGAAAAGGTGGTGTTTTAACCACATGGAGATAATTTTCCTATTGTTTTGAGTGGATTTTATCGATTTGGTTGCTTTTCTCGTATTTATGTATGTAGATGAAGCATGATGACAAAATCAAGAAAATCTGGAAAGACTAGGATCATTTTACAAATGAAATATCACTCAAGAAGAAAGAGAGCAAGACAACCGCAATGACTGCAGGAAATATTTTCTATGTGCTAATGCCTGAGATATTCTTCAATGCGGGCGCAAGCAGAAATCCTACGTTTTCCGTTTGAGCTAGTACTTCTCCTTTCAGAGCATAGATGGCGTACATTCCATATAAGGGATTTCCAGACAACGGACACACTAATGAGCCAGACGCCATAAAGGTGCTAAGAGCTAAGCTATAACCCACCTTCCCATGCGTTTCTGCGCCATGTTCTTTCAAGTTATTCATGATATATATTTCACTTTATAACAAGAGGCATTGCAATTGCCATTTCTCATTGGAGAACACCAATTCCCGACAAATATCATTTACGCCGTGCAGATGTGATTTGCACTGGCAAACCTGGTATTCCACGTGAGTTTTGGAGAGACGTAAAACGAATATCTCAACTGCTTGACTGCAATTAATTTGTTCGACGCGATGTTAACGAATTTTCACTGGTGATGAATGCCCAATAATTCCACTTTGTTTCTGTATGGTCATTGCTTCGCCTATAGTTATAGCTCTGTGGAAGGCTGGAGGATCTCCTCGGAGACGTTATATGAACCCTGTTTTTTCTTAGTTCTTCTCAATACAACATTCAACAGCGAACGAATGTTGAGTCTCTTCGGATTGAGACTTTCCTTACTGAGGATTGTTAAATCGCACCTTTCATTGCTCCTGAAGGAATTCGACAGTGTTAATGAAAATGAAAGATTAGTACGTATGCTCCCCCCAACGATACTCGCATTATAGACAAGGAAATGGCAAATATTATACGAGGGTGGTTCAAAAATTTTAACCTAAAGGACGAAAGAAGTGGATTAGGAAAATTAATTTTGTTCGTTTGCATAAATAAACTTTCTAGAACCTTCCAGCAGAAATAACATTTTGATTCGTTACCCATAACATTTGAACATTACACTTCGCATGTTCATAATAAGCTGGTGATGAAACTTCTCACGAAAAAGGGGCTGAACAATCCAGCAGCAATTGGAAGCTGTATACTTTGATGAGGCCCCTTCACGGCGCACAGTGGAGAGGTGGCATCATGAATTTCTGCATGGCAGGAGCAGTCTCCAAGATAAAGAACACAGGACGACCTACAACCAGCACCACAGCAGAATCGGCGGCAGCCGTTCAGCGCTTGGTGACAGATTACAATACTTATTTGCAGGGATTCTGTGCACTGCAGAAACGCTGGCAAAAGTCCATTGATATCGGCGTTGATCATGTGGAAAAAGTGTAAATATATTGTTCCTTGTAAATGACTCTGCTATTTGGTCAAATATTTTTGAACCACCCTCGTATACGGAAATCTCGAATGATCTCATGACCGTATTGCTCGCACAAATATTCCGTGATACGAGAATCGTTCCCATTGGAGTATGCAGCACTGAAAGATCAAATAAGCTGCAGGGCAACCCTACATCGAAACACGACATGACAGATTTTAGTCAAGTGATAATGGACTTGATACGAATGCGCTTGGAAGAACTCATACGCCGGCAATGAGGGCACCAAGATCGATGAAAGATGGTCATAATTGGTTTCCGTTGCTCCTTTGCCAATTTGAACGCCTCCGGTAAAACCTTCCACGGATACTTCTCCCCCAGACCTGGGACAGGCGAGTGTTCTATATGTGACTGTGCATGGGGAAAATCACTTTCAATGCATGTGGAGGATGCAAAACAAAACTTGATGCAAGATAAACCGTGGTGCTCTTTTTTTGAATGTTGAGAGAAAAAAAAATTGTCTACCGATGCATCGGAAGATGCTGGAAGCATTAACTCGAATAAAAGGTAACTTTATGTGAAATTCTTAGTCTACCCCATGAATCCCAAGTGCTGATTTTTCCAATCAACTTTCAGTGGAAACGCAAACTCATAATATTCTGTAAGCGATCAAAGGGAAAGACGCCGGGTTGTGATAGGGTGTCGGTTGTGAGTAGTTCACATGTCACGAGCTATTTCTTATCATGTATACTAAGTCGGGCAATTCCATCTGCTCGACTATCTACAGTGAAACCCCTCTCTCCCGATCGCTGCTCAGAATGGCCTTTTTTGGGAACGGAATTTTCTTCCTATAAGATTTACTTCATTTTGAACCCCGATAAGGCAACCGACGACTGGCATTTTTGATGCAAACTGAGATGAAAACCTTTCAACACAACCACTAGTGATCAAGTTATTGTGTTTAAGGAGTATTATATGCACCAAACAGAGCCAGCCTGTTTTATTGGAAATGAACCGGAATAGACTTGCTCTGTTTTATCGGGAATGATCTGTGCTGCGCGATTTGGCAAAGCGACCCTATCTGCCACCTGTGATCTTCACGGGTGGCAGATAAAGGAAACAGGAAGATAAAACTGCCGATTTTAAGACTAAACCAGAGTTAGTGTCATCTAAAGTAGTGAAAATGGCGTGTCATAACGTTCTCGTAAACGAATTCCAATGCAGCAAGACTCAAATTGAAGCCACCCCTCAAGAAGGGCAGCTATTGAAAGAGTGGGAAGGAAATGGCAACGACACGAACTCTGCGGTTTTGGAATGGTTAGACCCCCTATGAGACGACCACCCCTCGAGAAGACCATTTTCACGTGGAACGATGAGTGGTCGGCACTGGTGTTTCACTGTTTCCTAGTAATTGTTATCGGATGGAAGAATGGTTAGCAGGGGTTCTCAAACTGTGGGTCGCGACCCTCAGGGGGATCACCAAAGGGTCACAAGAGGGTCGCGGAGGGGTCACGATGGAATCGGAGAAATGCAATAATCTCTTGGTGGTTTGTACTCGATGTCTCGTTAGTTTCAGGAACCTGAAAATCGGGGGTTGCGAGTTATTGGTTCCCGGGAAACGGGGTCGTGAACCCAAATAGTTTGAGAACTTCTGGGTTAGTAGTTCTCGGTTCCAATTGGTTATAGTTAAGGTAAAGGACTCCAATAATCATGGCAGTAGTGGACCAACCAGGGTCTTTTGTGGGGCGGGGGAAGGGACCTAGAGAAAAAATCTGGGAAAAGAATTTATCAAAGTTTCAAAAACCTGATAAGTTCCCACTCTGATCTGCTCAAGACAAGCGCAACACAACCGACACATAGTAAGCAAATTCTTTGCCGTCGTGAAGCCGACAGTTCTTTAATCGAGAAATGAACACTGCCACATTTCTCAACCGCATTCAACCGTAAAGTATCACCAAAAAAACCAGCACTCAAGATTAATGCATTCAGATGTAAACGACATCTAACCTCGGCCAAGATCAACCTTCATCGGCGGAGTGACCTCCAAAGCGCCGGAAACCGCGACGACGAAGAAGCAGAAGAGTCTCGACTCCATAACGCACTCGCGAACCGGCACCTTTCGTCTCTCCGCTTCCACGTGGAATTCTCATTATACGACTGACTCCCCCGGTATCTTATCGCGATGGCAATTTATGGCTGCGATGTGAGCCGAGGCATCAAACGATGAAGTATTCTAAGTAGAGGCTTCTCTTTTATAATATGGAATGTTTATTTTTCATCCAATTCGTGAAGAGCTTGCTTGCTTCCAGCCTGACATTAAGGTTTTTTTTTCGTTTCATCTCAAAACCGAATTTTACTCGTAAAAGAAAAATATTTAGTTTGAAGAGGCATTCTTCACTGAACTTAAAAAAAAATGCAATTTCTATTTCTACATTTAGGTATATTGCGTGCCCATATCTCATTTCACCACCGGCAGGAATTTTCCAGTGTTACCAACATCCGCCGGTGGTTTCATTAAAGCCTAAACGAAATAAGGCATTTTGAAGCCGCAAAGCAGCTTTTCCTTGCTTCTGTCTCGAAATTTATCGGTATTACAGTCCCTTCTCGGTCGTCGCTTGAAATTCCCAATAAAGTTTGCGACAAAAATTTTATTTTAGCAATCTCGATTCCATCGCATCTTTGCGGTCTTTTTTCCCTCGTCCATCAGGTTCCCATCAGCGAGAAAAAAAAGGGAAGGAACGATTCCTTTGCGGCTTCTTTTTTTCCCCCCCCTTTTCCCAGACCGCTTAATTTTTTTTTCCCGGTCCGAAGAAGTTCTCACCGAACCTGGGAAAACACGCTGCGGATTTGCTGCGGATTCGACGTCACCGTCCTCGGAGATGGGGATGCTGCGCGTCTTTTCCTCAGAGGAATTCGAAAGAAATCCTTAAAAATGAAAACTTTTGATCGACTCGGACGAGTTTCTGCGAAGTTTCCGGAATCATCTCGCGTGTAAAATATTTTCACGTGCAACGAGAGAAATATGGAAATCTCTTGGCTCATGCGCCACGTGTAGAAATAATTACGAAGAGACTAAAAGGAACGAGATCCTACCAGATCGGTAAATAAGATCGATCGTGCCCGGACGAATAATCCTTCTCTTCCAGGCACAAAATGGCGGCCCAATAAAAGACGATAAGCCGGGGAGCATAGTAAAGCTCCCCTAAACTCACGAGAGATTTGGTTTTCGAAAGTTCGCTGAAGTTCGCCTTCGTCGGCGTCGAACGGTCGGAGGCTAAAAATAATAATCTATTCTAGAACTAAAACTATTAACTAAAAAAATAAATTTCGTTTGCTCAAATTTTCTCGAAACATTTTTGGCATCGGGTCGGATTACTTTTGCACGCGCTCTACCGAGGATTGCAAGCGAAATTCGTCGGCTACGAATGCGCTATCGAAACGGCGCGTTTCTCGAAAATCCCATTCCGAAATATTCACGAGACGATTCCAGGATCTCAAAATTCCGATGGTGGAGTGAGGATTCTCATCGTTTCTAATTCGCTGCTGCGACTGTAAGTATCTGAAGCGGAGACCGTGCGATTCGGTTTTCGAGCAACTGTTCAACGAGATGAGGAAACAGCCAGAAGTCACATTGGGGTAAATCTTGGCTCGAGCTTGTGACTTCTGGCTGTTTTCTCGTCGAACAGTTTGCTTGACGAAATTTCGGTCTCATTCGAGACCCACCAAGAAGCACACGCCCTTCGGGAGTGGCTTTGGGTTGGTGCGTGCAATCACGGGGTCGATGCTGAGGAGGATTGCATTGCCAACATTTTGGCATGCAGATGCCTTTCCCGTCTGCCGGACCGACGAGGCAGGTGCTCGATCCGTCGCAGTACTTTCTGTCGGAGCGTCGCCATCTTCTCGGGAATTTCAGGGGCTTTTAATGAATTTCGGGGCCCGATGGTAGATAAGATAGGTAAGACACTTAAAAAAAAAGGTTTTACTACGGACCTTATTTTGCGTCTGTCATCATTTGTCTGCAGCTGAAAAGTCCTCCACTCTCGCAGAAACGGCAGTTACAGTTATGCTATTTTTAGCATTAATTTTTTTTTAATTTGCTCGTTTGTTAGTTTTATTAGCTCCTTGTTGCCATCTCGCCGCATCTCAATCCCCCTCACTGCAAAGGCACATCTCAAGCACAGAAAGCCATTTTCTCGAAACGGGAGTTGGGCTTAACACCATCTTGCACCGAGCCTCTCGATTCGGGAAAGGTCACAAGGACTGGAGACACGTGAAATATTTCTTGCCAATTTTTTGTCGTCCTTGTGAGAGATGAACCGGATGAATAGAATTATTCCGCAAGAGGGATCGTCTCGATATAATTACGCATCGCTACGAGCTACAAACGAGAATTTTCCGTATTGCCTTCATAATTTGCTCATCATTTTCGTATCTTTCTTGATTCGTAATTTTTGCTGCCAGAATCGGCAACAGAGATTCTTAGTTGACCTCATTCCGTGAACCTTTCTATAAGGACCTGAATTTCGGCAGCTGTTTGCTCGTTGACGGTCGGGTGGTGGACGGTCAAAAGCATTGCAAGCAGCGGAAGATATTTCCGTCATTCTCACCGTGGCCCACTTTAATCTAGGTAGTCGTAGGGGTAACAGCAAAAGTAACGAAACCGAGTGATCCCGTTTCCTGCCTGTAATCTGATGCACACCCTTTCAGGTATCGTGCGTCGCGTCGATACCGAATGCAAGACCGTCGCTTCATTATTTCCACGTTTCGTCGATATCTTATCTCGACGATCGTCATTTACGACTCGGCGCGAGCCATACCGCAAACATTCCATTAAAAATTCGGGGGAATAAATTACTTTTATTTATTCGTTCGCTGTCGTCCACGCATCCTCGCAGTCACATCCCACCCCTCATCCACATTCGTCGCATTTCGTCGCATTCAGTCGCAACTCGTCACATCTCATCGTGCTCGTAGGCCCTGCTCTCTCTGGCCTCTAGGACCCTTCGATGGGCCTCGTACATGGCCGGGATGAGAACATCCACTGTCGGGAAGTAATACTTGTGCGCCGCCCTCCCCGGGTTCGGGATATCCACCTGAAACCCATGCGGATCTGAAATTCAACCAGAAATTCATTAAGGCCCTAAAAAATATGAACGCATGAAATCTATCAATGAAGAGGTGATTTTAAAGAGACGACGAACTAACTAATTAGTGCAAAAAAATTGAACAATTGATGGATTTATCTCGCTTTGAAAGAACAGAAGTCACTGGTTTGTTCCATCGGATATGGAGGAAATTGGACGGACAATTTGGTTATTTTTTTATACAACTATGCTTCGAAACAGATGTGTACATTTTGCACGAATATGCTCAATCTTACCCCCAAGATGGATTTGCAATATTTTATAAATAATTTTTCGATTATGTATATCGCTAAATGAAGATCGATCGCAATCGAATAAAAAACGTAAATGTCCCAAATATATATACAGGTGTTCCATTTATCTTGGGGCCATGAAAATGTTTTAAAAGAAAACTTTTATAATAACAATAATAATTTAAATTTTCATTTCGAATTGAAGATAAATGCTGCTAAGTTGTCGAATTTGAGACACGAGACGCTCAGTAAATCCAAACATTCTGCAATACGTTGCCGAATGAAGACGCTGAGAAGCGCGACCGAAAGCCATCGGTGCGAACAGTGGAGACGATGAGCTTAAGCGATTCGACCCGAAGAATTCCCTTCGCCCTTTCTGCTGGGGAAATCTGAAGAGCGAAGCGTGCCGTAAACAGACTCCAGAAGGTGCCGAGAGTGCACCGATGAGAATGGCATGCACTAGAGAGGGATTGCATCTCGCCTGTGAGTGTCCGTTCCGTAGGTACATTCTTGCAAAAAAAATCTATGGTTGTACATCTTATCGTTTTCCTCTAAACGAACATGTAAATGGTCCCAAGATAAATTGAACGCCTTGCAAGTGTATCAAGTTGCGCATTCAAGTCTCAAAAAGATCCCGCATTCAACGTCATTTGCAGGATGACCACCAGTTAACCAGCTAACCAGTCCCTAGTTAAACTGGTTACTTCCACCGCCTATCACTTATTACCGTTCTCGGTTATACTAGTTGAGTAGTTAAGCGCGATTCAAAAGCAGCTTAACTACTTCTTCACAGCGCTACGAAAGTGCTACTGAAACAAAGGTATGAACTTTTATTACCTGGAATTACCACAACTCAATGTGACTACCGGACGTGACGCGACAGATATCCCAGCGATAGTTAATCTCATTCCATAAGCGTTGCAGCATCTCCGGCGTAACTCTGGGAGCTGCCGATCGTTTTCTTCAGTTCTGGCACGTTCGAGAGCAGTGGTGGCCATTTTGGTTTCCACGATGACGGCGACGTGGGCGGAAATCGGAACTACTGACGGTATGACGCAAACTTAACTCTCAGACCATCCTCGAGATTCAGCCAGTCGAAGTGCTCTCCCAACCCTGGAGGAAACGTCTTCGTATCCGAAGGGTGATTCCGAGTTACGAGACGAAGCTGATCGGCTCACCTCGACCTCTCCCCTTGTCCTGGGACCATGTCCCCTGGATGCCGAGAAAGGCCAGGGCGAAGGTTAGAGTTAGGGGCGGAGTCATCGTGGATCGACGGAGGCGAGAAAACGCACGGAAGTACGGTATTACCAACAGAAATACCCTCACACGAGGATGTTGGGAAGGATGCATTTTCTATCTTATCTAGATTTTATAGCAGGCTTTTATGAGCCCCTCAGATCGCACCTAGGCTTATATGAAATCCTATGAATTATTATCAGAAGTAAGTCGAGCTTGGCAGAAAACTGACATGCGCACCGCTATATATTGTATAACATCATAATTGTTAAATTAGAACAATATCGAATCCCTTTTCTTTTTTTTTTCTCCTTGCTCGGAGAACGAACAGAAACTTCTACTTCCACGACGACTGTACTGACGCTAAGGATGATTCTTTCCGTTATCTGTCAATGATTGGTATCCCGTATCTTATCGCTGGAACCAGTGAAGGCCTGCGAGTGCGCCTCCAACAACTTCTACAGTATGTCTCGAGTTCGTTGAGCCATCCGTTGCCCCCTTTGGCATGTCTCGAGTTCGTTGAGCCCTCTGGCATGCAGATGCCTTCCCATCTGCGGGCCCGACAAGGCAGGTGCTCGTGGTGTCGATGCGTCACAGTACTTTCTGTCGGAGCGTCACCATCTTCTCAGGAATTTCATGGGACTTTTTATGAATTAAAGGGCTTGGGGACTGATAGCCGTAAGACATTTAAAAAAATAAAAATAAAAACGGGATTTTTACTACCGACCTTATGTTGCATCTGTCATCAGCCGTATGCAACTGATGAGTTTCCCACTCTTGCAAACACGGCAGTAATACTGTAATTTAATATAATACTGTAGCATTAATTTTTTTGTTCGTTTTATTAGCTCGTGCGTTTTATTTGCCTTCTCACTGTCACATCTTTTCATGTCTCATGTCTACGAAGGCACATTTTAAGCACAGGTAATTTTCTCGAAATGGAAGTAACTTAACTTAACTTTAGCTGAACACCATATTGCACTGAGCCCTCCAATTTGGAAAGGGGCAAGTGGGCTGGAGAAAAGATCGTCAAATATTTCTTGGCAACTTTTTGTCGCCCTTGCAAGAGACGAACCGGATGAACGCTGCTGATGCGCGAGAGCCTCGTCCCTCTCATTTTCCTGAAAGAATATTACTATCCCGCAAAAGGGATCGTCTCGATATAATTACGCATCGTTACAAGCAAAATACTAGAATTTACTGAAATGCCTTCTTAATTTGCACATCATCTTTGTGCCTTTCTTGATTCGTAATTTTTGCTGCCAGAATCGGTAACAGAGATGCTTAATTAACCTCATTCCGTGAACCTTTCTATTAGGACCCGAATTTCGGCAGCTACTTGCTCGGTGACAATCGGTGACAGCAGTCACTTTAGGTCGAAGAAGCATTGGAAGCAGCGGAAGATATTTCCGTGATTCTCACCTCGACTTCTGTCCATCCTAATCTCCGGAGTCGTGGGCATAAATACTGAAAACAAGAGTGTCGTATCATTATTGCCACGTTTCGTCGATATCTTATCTCAATGATCGCCATTTCCGATTCTGCGCGAGCCACTCCGCACACAGTCGATAAAACCTCAGGTGGTTAAATTGCTTATTTCTTATATTTCGTCATCCACCATTCTCGCAGTCTCGTCTCGCCGCGTCCACATTTGCATTTCTCGGGTCACACCTCATCGTGCTCGTAGGCCCTGCTCTCTCTGGCCTCTAGGACCCTTCGATGGGCCTCGTACATGGCCGGGATGAGAACATCCACTGTCGGGAAGTAATACTTGTGCGCCGCCCTCCCCGGGTTCGGGATATCCACCTGAAACCCATGCGGATCTGAAATTCAACCAGAAATTCATTAAGGACTTAAAATATGTATGCGTGAAACATCTTTGTGAGGAGACGATTTTTAAAAGGCAACATTATCCAACAGAACTGTATGGAAAAAAAAGAATAATTGATGGATTTGTCTCGCTTTGAAAAGAAAAGAGGAAGTCACTGGCTTGCTCCATCGGATATTGAGGAAAATGGATGGAAAATTTGATTATTTTGTATACAACTTTGCTTCAAAACGAAATGTATATGCTATATATCTGCTTAATCTCATATAAAAGTGGATTTCCAATATGTTGGAAATAATTTTTCGATTATATGTATCACTACATGAAGGTCGATCACAATCGGATACGGGTAAGTGTACATGTCCCAAAAATACGCGAAGAAGAATACCAACTTGGGAATTCTAGTTTCCAATAGACCGCATTCAATAGCATCGTACTGCAGGCGAGACCTGTAGAAGGAGGTGTAGGCAAGTACGAGAGGGGGAAAGAATACCAAGGAACGACAAAGAATCGAACCCGGGCCTTCTGATTGCCGGTAAGGTGTGCTACCACTACACCACCGAACCCGGGACAATCAAAAGCTCATTTCCATGCCATCCCTAACACTACAGCATGATTTGCAGGGATGAGCACCAGTTAGCGAGACACTTAGTTAAACTGGTTACTTCCACTACGTAAGTATCACTTACTACTACTCTCGGTGATACTTGCTGAGAAGTGGTTACAACTGTTTTTAGATCTATTAAGCTGGTTCAAGTTAAGCCACCTCCTCCCGTTTTTAAGCTCGTCTCAAAAAAAAAACAAGAGAAAGGGACTTTAATTATTAGTTTGTTTCAACATTCACTGTCCGTCCAATGGAGATTGTTTCGCAGGTATTTGCAAGTATTGTTAAAACCACTGTCTGTTGAATCTCACTTATTTCCAAATACATGCATGATTTTTCTTTCCTGGCCTATTGAGTAAACCGGTGAGAGTGAGTCAGGCTGTTTTCAAGTTTTTCCCCGTTGCAATTGATTTATTTGAAACCATGGAATTACTGGTTTAAAACGATCTGCGTAATAGGTTGGCTGGTTTCGAGGTCGGTTCCCATCATTGATGGAAGACGCGAGGACACATCCGAGCATACCGAAGAATAGAATTCGAGGGTAATAGGCACCATCAGGCTCTAAGGCAGGATGATGAGGATCGTCATCGTCCTCGATATTCACCATGACGAAATTCGGAGCCGCTTCGTAGATAGTCTGCGAAAAAGCCATCGGTGCGAACAGTGGAGACGATGAGCTTAAGCGATTCGACCCGAAGAATTCCCTTCGCCCTTTCTGCTGGGGAAATCTGAAGAGCGAAGCGTGCCGTAAACAGACTCCAGAAGGTGCCGGAGAGTGCACCGATGGGAATGGCATGCACTAGAGAGGGATTGCATCTCGCCTGTGAGTGTCCGTTCCGTAGGTACATTCTTGCAAAAAAAATCTATGGTTGTACATGTTATCGTTTTCCTCTAAACGAGCATGTAAATGGTCCCAAGATAAAATGAACGCCTTGTAAGTGTATCAAGTTGCGCATTCAAGTCTCAAAAAGATCCCGCATTCAACGTCATTTGCAGGATGACCACCAGTTAACCAGTTAACCAGTCCCTAGTTAAACTGGTTACTTCCACCGCCTATCACTTATTACCGTTCTCGGTTATACTAGTTGAGTAGTTAAGTGCGATTCAAAAGCAGCTTAACAACTTCTTCACAGCGCTACGAAAGTGCTACTGAAACAAAGGTATGAACTTGGAGTTTTATTACCTGGAATTACCACAACTCAATGTGACTACCGGACGTGACGCGACAGATATCCCAGCGATAGTTAATCTCATTCCATAAGCGTTGCAGCATCTCCGGCGAAACTCTGGGAGCTGCCGATCGTTTTCTTCAGTTCTGGCACGTTCGAGAGCAGTGGTGGCCATTTTGGTTTCCACGATGACGGCGACGTGGGCGGAAATCGGAACTACTGACGGTACGACGCAAACTTGAAGTTCGTATCTTCGTTTCAACACCGCTACTTTTGATGTTTGAGGCAGTTGAACCGGTTTAGGTTAAGCCACTCGCTCGATCTCCCGTTTTTACGCTGGTTTCAATGACAAATTAAAGGAAGGAGCTTTATTGATTAGTTTGTTCCAACATTCACTGCCCAAAGGAGATTGTTTCGCAAGTATTTGCCTGCATTGCGAAAACGGAATCTTACTTATTAAAATTATTTTGACAAAAGTGCCTGATTGTTCTTTCTTGGCCTATTAACAAAATTAAAGCAGCAGGAAACTAGTAAACTGGTCGAGCAGTATTTACATCTTTCAGTTGCAAGTGATTTTATTTGAGACCAGTGAACTCCCGGTTGAAACTAATGCGAAGGAATGCGGAACTAATTAGCTTGTTAGCTGGTTAACCAGTTAATTAGCCGGTTAATTAGTTTGTCTCAAGAGGTTTGTTCCCATCGTTGATGCATTTAGGTACAAATCTATCGTATGGCTTCTTATCTTAAGCTCCCATTATCCGTGGTAGTCCGAGGTTCCGTCCTACTACTCCTAGCAGTAGCAGGAGCTATAAGTGGTACTGCTTTAAGCCTCGGCGAAGCATCTATCAGACGCTCCCGGCGAACCGATTCCTGAACGCTGCACGATAAAATCAAAACGATGTCTTGCTTCCGTCGACGAAAAGTGGAAACGGGTAACCTACCTTTCGAAGCCCCGCACCAAGACTTGTGGATGATGACCATGAGAGGCTTCTTTTCCTCTCGAGCCACTCTCAGACCATCCTCGAGATTCAGCCAGTCGAAGTGCTCTCCCAACCCTGGAGGAAACGTCTTCGTATCCGAAGGGTGATTCCGAGTTACGAGACGAAGCTGATCGGCTCACCTCGACCTCTCCCTTTGTCTTGGGACCATGTCCCCTGGATGCCGAGAAAGGCCAGGGCGAAGGTCATAGTTAGGGGTGGGGTCATCGTGGATTGATGGAAGCAAGAAAACGCACGGAAAAACTGTAATACCTAGGGGAATACCTTCACGCGAGGATGTTGGGACGGATACATTTTCTATCTTATCTAGATTTTATATCAGGCTTTTATGAACCGCTTTGATTTCACCTAGAGCTATATGAAATGCCATGAATTCGCGCAAGCCAAAGCTTGGCAGAGTACTGACATGCGCACCGTTGTAAATTGTGGTATAATTACTTGGTAGATGATGGCCGAATCCAGTTTCTTTGTTTGTTTGTTTTTTTTCCTCCTTGCTTGCAGAACGAGCAGAAATTTAAATTGCACGGCGGCTGTTCTGTCACAGGAAGCATGTAAATCTAAGAATGAATTGACAGCCTTTGTGACAGCACATTAAGAATCATGGAGGACCCCCCCCCCTCCAAAACGAAGAAAGTAAGAAACATCGGACCTTAAGAAATTGCCTGTGATGGCACAAGGAGCAAAAAAAAGCATACCTCGCCATGCCTTCCCTGAGAAGGAATCCTTTTTATTGGGTCTCCTTTCCTGAAAGGAAAGGAGACCACTTGTGGTTTCGTCCTGTCCGTCCGTGTGTCTCACTGGTTGTCCGACGATAACTTAGAAAATATTGGCTTGACCAATGCGAAAATTGGCAAGCAGGTAGATATGAACAAGATACGGGGTGAATTCGTTTTGTGGCGAATTTGCCCCAAAATTGTCATTTTTATCGCGAATTTTGATTCGAAATTTGCTCACGGCGGGGATTGCATGAGTTTCCGAGAGCCCTTTGGAATCTGGACTACAATGCGCATGCGCGTGAGACTCCTGGTGCCGTGTCCCCAATCAATGCTCAGTTCTTTACTAGACTTCGTTGCGGAGGGGTCGAACCACGCACAACCCTCCATCCTCCCATCATCATTTCATGAGCACCATGGATAGATTTGCTAAGTCTAACTGAGAAATGCGGTTTTTTGATGGTCGAGGGCCGGAAAGAGTTAGCATTTAGTTTACGTAGGTGACAAAAGGAGGGTCTCCTTAAATGAAAGAAGGCCCGCTACTGGACTGGGCTTGCCCATCTTGTTTTGGACCGCCCTTTTTGGCTCGCGATGGTAATTGGTCGAATCAGCACGAAAGTTTGTGCGATGAATCTGCCTGTGCTATTTTTCCCAACAACTCAAAAGATCTATCATCGATCGCGTCGAATAATAAGAGTAATTGAGTCATTTCCGCTTATAGGATAAACATATTCGTCTCTCCTATCACGTAAGCTCTTTTTTAGTGATGGCACTCCCGGCAATGGATACAATTCTTTGAGCAGGGAGAGGGCCCGGTTGTATGGTATGTATGAGAAAGAGGATTTTTTCTGTATGAGAAGTTTTAGGAGGCAGAAATGTACACTTTCAGAATGGTTCTGCAAAGCTTCAGGCGCCAGCAGGAACTTGGAGCTGCTGAATTTCCTAAATCTAAATATGTTTTCTAAAATCCGGATTCGGATTTCAGATTTGCAATGCGAAGAATAACATTGGAATAAAGACATAATCCAGACTTGATAGGTCAGGAAAAAAAAGATTCTGAAAACTAAATTCAATTTCGAGTTTAAACAGATTCTGCTTCGTTCTTTCAGGGAGGAACGGCTTTGTCTCGAGAGTCAAAGGCTGTCAATTCCTACAGAACGTTATTGACTAGGTCTAAAGGGTCTGAAGTCATTTCACGTGATAAAGAGGCCGTTCGAGCGCCAGAATGTGCCATCGTAAACCACGATGCAATCGGGATGTCGGGACAGTTTCCAATTCCCCTCTCGTGATCTTCGATGTCGCGTATGTCTCTGGCCCAGACGCGACCATATTCATGTTTCGGTCTCTTCATGGAATAATTCATCATCCATCAGAGGGAGGGAGATAGAGGGATTGTCTAAGTCCCAGTCCGACAAGAAATCAGAGAACCGCAGGCGATTATCATTCAGATTTGAATGACTTCTTTATGACGTGAATGGCTTAAAAGATCTCGTCGATGCAGCTCTCCGTGCATCGTGGAGGTTGGGTCGTTCACCCTATTTTATTGCCATCCGCCCTTCCAGTCCAGCAAGTTCCGAGTTATTCCCCCCCAGTGCAGAACACTCCCTTCTCCTCCCCCCCCCTCTCCCCCCTCGCCCCCTCCCCCTTTTGGACCCTTCTGCACCCAGATCCCGCCTCTTCTGAAAATCCTAGACGCGTCACCGGTCAAACTCGTTCCTCTCTAACCGATCTGGTCAATTTTCAAGGAGCAATCGCAGGGATTTTCGTTCCTGTCTTTCTTGATATTTTCTTCCTTCGAACGCTTGCTGGAGAGGTTAAGTTGACATCAGCACCCCCAACTTCACGAGGAGTGATTGCTCTGATGCCAACCATAACATGAACTTTTTCACTGACATAAATAACCATTTGAAAAAAGGAAAAAGTCTGTTGATGCACGAAATTGAATGTAGTTTTCATAAACTAAATTTTTCTGCTCACCTGTGTTTAGCCTGGCAAGGAAGCCATCTATATGGGACTACCTATATATTGGCACTTAGCTGATACCTTACCGCGACGATTGCAATATAAGAATCTGCGATGTCCTCCTGGGAACAGCCTGCAAGAGAATTTAAAAAAATTCTGACGAACAAGTTACTTTTTCATTAGCTCGTTGTGACTCATGTATTTTTGCAGTCACCCTTTGTCGTCTCCATACATGATTTATTTATTCTTCTCCCATGCATTTTCCCAGTCACATATCGTCGTGTTCATACAATGATTCGCTGGCTTCTTGTGTCTGGACTTTGTTATGGGCAGTGTACATGGCCTGGATGAGTCCTTCCATGGTCGGGAAATAATACTTGTTCGACGCCCGTTCCGGGTTTGGGATATCCAGCATGTGTCCATCCGGATCTAAAATTAGAACATAATGGTTCTAATATGGGCCTCAAGTATAAAGTATGCACTTGCAGGAAACCTGTAATTCTGTAATTATGTGTATGATTTAATACAAGTCCAAAATAATGAAATAAATGAAAACGTATGCGTAGATGCATGCGGCAAAAAAAATCTGCTTATACGGAGATGTATTCTTTCAAAATTCGAAAACATTCCATGTTCCATTTTATGATTTTATAAAGTACTTCAAACATGTACACATCTCTGCATACCGAAGAATAGAATTCGAGGGACATAGGCACCATCTGGCTCCAAAGCAGGATGATGAGGATCATCGTCGTCTTCTATATTCACCATGACGAAATTTGGAGCCGCTTCAGAGATGCTCTGAGACCGGGCAAATCGATCTCGGAATACTACAGATTTATAGAGACAATGCCGGTAGTAACTTGCTTTCTCGATGGAAGGAGATGTGTAACGTACCTTGAGAAGCCCCGCACCAAGACTTGTGAATGATGACCATGAGAGGCTTCCTTTCCTCTCGAGCCACTCTCAGACCATCCTCGAGATTCAGCCAGTTGAAGTGCTCTCCTAACCCTGGAGGGAAAATGTCCAACTGATGGTTCCAAGATGCGAGACGAAGTTATTTGACTCACCTCGGCCTTTTCCCTTGTCCTGGGACCAGGTCCCCTGGATGCTGAGCAAGGCCAGAGCAAAAGTCAGAGGTGAGAACAGGATCATCATGAGTGGACGGAGACGAGAAAACGCACGCAGATACTGTCACACAACAGGGATAGTGCGCGATTGCGTTTTACGTCTAAATCTGGATTTTGTAGTTTATTTCATTTAAGTCCGACATGTTTTCTTTTAACTCCGGCACCCATTCATGGGAAATGCCACAGAGGGGCGTCGAAGTCGTCTGAAAAAGTGTCGGACTGAAGCGGGGAAAAAACTAATAGGCTTTCATGAGCCCCTTATTCACCTTCAAGGAATCAACGAAGTTCAATCACATATTGTGTGAAGCAAACAAAAGCTTGGTTTCTTACTTCTGAAAGACACAATTTTAAACATGCCTTGTAAATTCATTGGTGCTCTATGTTCCATAAGTAAACATTCTTCGAGATACATGATTCAGAAAATAGGTAGAGTTGAATTCCATTTCCTCCCTCTTATCTCCGTGTTTGGAGAACAAACAGAGATCCCATCAGACACGGCAATGACATAGAAAGCATTTCAACCGGGGGAATGGCTTGAGTTCGGAGCTTTCATCCATCTCGCCCTTAGATAATAGAGCACAATTCTGAAAACGGTCTCCGCCTCCTACATCCCGTTTTTTCTCTTCTCTGCAACGAACGAGGAAGTAATGAAAGGCATGGCATGAACGACTCGTGGATGCAATATCCAGATTCCGGAGATGTTTTCTGCCAGGCGACGAACTGAAGTGTATTCCGAAACGGTGGACATGATGGTCAGTGTGACTTCTAAAACCGAGAATGCTGGAAGTGACAATGCGCATGCGCCCCGCTACCCCTCCCCCCCCCCCCCCCGAAGCACATGAATGAGGCAGCCCCTCTTTGTAGCCGTGCAGTCTCACAAAGAGTTCCACCGCCGTGGCGATCGCACGCTGCTCCGCTTTTGTTGTGCATGTGAATCAGGATACGAGGAGTCCTAGTTTCTCCCGTTAGCTTGGAGTGTTTGGTATCCGGACTGATTGTTGAAGACTTGCTGCGTCACTCGGGTAAGAAAATACAACGGGTTTTTCAGTTGATTGATCGAGGAAATTAGAGCCGTACCTCTATTGTGTATCTACTTCGCCACTCCATCGATTTCGGAGAACGAGGCCGCGTTGAGGCTATGGAAAGCGTGGATATCGACACCTCATCATCCATTAATAATAGCTGATATTAGATATATACGCAATGGAAGAGAGGGAAGGCGATATGAGATCTAGGTTTGGCTATAAAAGGACGAAAAGGGAGTTCCATTAGGATTATTGACGAGGCTAGCCTATATCCGATCAGTGGGGGATCAGAGAGCCCTCTCAGCTCGCCTGCTTTAACAACCTCCATTCCTCGGCGAATGCAAGGAGATGTCACACTCAGAATCCAATTCATGATGGATGTTTACCACATACGCCTCTTCCATCTTTTCCCAGGAGACTTTAAGATCCATCTAACCTGTCGTGTCTGTTTGATTGTCCCATTTTTCATGCTATTACAAGGGGCAACAAGATCGAAGCCTAAAGAAAAGAAATACTTTTTTTCCCCTCTTTTTTTCCCTCTTCAGGCTCCCAGCGGCTGTTGCGATGCAAGGAGGTGCATGAATCAGTTGAATACAGTGTTGTCACCGACGGCGAGAATATAATGGCTTCAAGTCTGACCGGCGTGGGTATCTTGTGGGCAGCGGTGTCTATGGTGGCAGCACTGGCCTCCTGTGTCGGTTTTTATCTCCCTTATTGGCTCCAGGCAAGTTCCACTTCATTCATCTATTTAATGATGGTAATCAGCGTAAGCATGACCCGACCGAGATGAGGAACAAAGAACGTCTCTGATGCCAATGGAGGCAGTGGTATTATAGGGTTTTTTTTATTTGCGACAGAGTTGTCGATGGAGGCATTGTGCCATGAAATGGGATGAGTTTTTCTTGAGATGACGGGAATCGGCGGCGTGGAAAATGGAAGACTCGCCATCCGAATTCTCATCTTTGATCCCTCATGATGCACATACAGACACTCTTTCTCTCAACTTTCCCATCTTCATCATCTCGATCCAGGAATAAATTATTCAAGGAAGGTGCGCCTAGAATATCCGATCCTGAACGAAATAATGGGAGCGAGAAGGTAATTAAGGGGCGGTGATGATGAACAAAGGGGGAGGTGTCAGGGTCTTAATGGAGTGCGTCTCCATAGGGAATAAGTCCCAGCCCCACAAGTCTTGACTTTAGAGAGGCCTTTAATTACATCCTCTCCGATGTAATCCCGTTAGAGCCACGTGACATCCTGTTAAAGAACATTCGCACCCTTTGCATGACACGTTCTCTTGCTAGCTCTAGTTTCAGTTACGGAATGGTTGAAGGCGAGGGAGCAGGAAGTCCTCCGAAGCATGCCTGAAATAGTCAAATGAATCATTTCCGTATGCTGCATACTACTCCATGCACCAGATGGGAACGAAGCGAAGAGCCGTAGATATCCCAGTGAACTGGTGGGTGTTGTGGAAGTAATGCAGCTGACGCTGGTTGGCCATTAAACAATTATAGTCAATTATCTTCCGTCCTCCATTCCAGTTATCGCCATAGATGCCCTCTGCCATCCTTTTCCAGTCTGGTGCGAATTCCGCGCTCCGTAGATGCAGGAAGCAGCTCATATATGACGCTGATAGCTTTCTTCTTGTAAAGAGATGTTTTGTTTAAGTTGTTGAGGAGGTTCATTGATTTCAACTTAAGTATTCCGACTGGTCTATTCCTCCTCGTGCTTTGAGGCATGCGATGCATTTTTTTTTATGCGTGCACCCTATGTAATGGGAGCACGCAACCTTGGCTGTAGATGGGAACGAAAGTATGACCACTTTTACCTCAATGTGTTTATTCGAAAATGAGGAGAAAAATCCTGCACTCCGAAAGTGTTGCAATTCTGCTTCAGAACGAATTTCTTAGCGCTGGGAGCGTTAAGCAAGTGAATTCTATAGTAGGGTAGCTCATTTATTCAGCTCTGCAGAGCTGCCGCTGAAGGTATGCAACGTGGCGACATTTCTTAGACATTCGTCCCGGGATCACTCATGTCCAGATTTTCAATGTGGAACATTGAACTCTCATTAGCGGCTATAAACGAAAGGCACCGAAACTTTGGCTTCTGCCGTAACAATTGCCGTAGAAATGCAAAGGAAGTTTCTGGAGTTTGAGCCAAGCGTGTTCCAGTGCAGAAAAAATCAAATGCGAACCAATGTGCAGGAAATTGTGTCCATGTACTTTCCCAGACTCAACACAAGATGCGAGAAGTGACATCTGCATATTTAAAAAAAAATTAAGGAGTTACAGAATCAGCCCCGGAACTTTTTGATCCTCTTCTTATGCACGAGCTGGATTATCGCGGGCTTTCCATCGTCCTAGTCTGTAATCCTGTTAAGTGATGTGGTCGACTTCGTCAAGAACCGGCTGGAGCTGTAGATATGGAAGAATCGCATGAGAGGGATAGGATTTCACAGGAAGAAGAATGACTCGGCCGAGAAGATGTGGCTATTGCATGTATTGGTTCCGCCTCGCTCTACTGTCTTAATCACATTCCCATCAACGAACCCAGGCCTTACACATGACCAAATACCATAAAGGAACCGAGCCCACATGCACGGTTCAATGAAACCTTAGCCTTCCCTTACTTCACGGCTTAAATCGACTGTGCGCGCGAAAAAGGCTTGTGCTGCATGATAGCCCATCTCATTCTACATTCAATCTGTGTTTTGATGGCGTGAATGCTGCTAGAAGACAGTGAAAAATGAAGATTTGTTAGTTAATATTCCTGCCGTCGATTTCCATGAACCAATAGATGCGAGAAGCATCCATAAATAGGCAGCTTGGATATTGCGTCGATGGGAGGATTTCGTCAAACCTAATCGGAATAAGTCTATCGAGGATTCTGCATCTTGCCTTCAGGCCGATTTTGGGCGGATACGACTTTGAGATTCAAATTAAAAATTTAAAATGGAATATTTTATTCAGATACAAGGTCTCATTTGCTCCACCACGACACAGTTCTGCTACTGAAGAGAGGATGCTAAGGTTTCGATGCACCCTGTGCCCTTCCACTGCTACCATCAACGGTCGCAGACCTTGCATTCCATCGACAAGTAGGCAGGTAGAATTCTGTTCAAGCTTAGACGAGTAATCGAGTTGGATGCCTGAACACTCCCCGCTTGTCACTTATTGAGTTTGTCTTTCCGAAAGACCCGCGTTTCCTTTGTCACATGTCATTCATTGCTTGGCACTGTTTGCAAGGCCACGACAACTTGTTTCCTGTCCAAATTGGCATGACCCTATACCCGATATTGCTCATACGCTCGTTTCTTTCCTCCTGCCCGAGTTTGCGAGGAGGAGACATATTCTTCCCATTTCTCTTTCTTTTCAAAATTCAATCCTGATGGGAATGGAGATGAAGAAAAACGAGGATGATTCCCCCTCTCCAATCGATTGATATTTCCTGTGAGGGGGGAAGCCCGTCCCTTCCCACTGGGAGAATATTGTCGTCATTGGAATTCGATGTTCGTTCCTTGAGGGCGACCAATCAATTTCCTTTTCCCTTCGCCATGAGCCATTATATCCCGTCATATGGAAGGAGATTCCCATGGAGGGAGATTCCTTCCCTTCTTTCCTCCCCCCATGAGACATCTCTTTTCCTCGAGGAATGCCGACGGGAATATAGACCAGATATATCTTAGGGATTTGGTGTTTTTTTTTGCTTTTCCCATCCCATTTCATTCTTCCCTTCTCATTACTGCATTGGTCTGAATATCTGTTTTCGTTCTCTTAGCAAATTAGCCGCTCAGCCGTGTAGTAGCAGCAGACACGTGATCAACCACATTTCAGTATCATGAATAGACTCACCTACGCGGGATTAATGCAAATTTGAAACCAACATCTCATGGGGTCATATTACACTCAAGGTCGTTTTATATTTAGACCAATACGACATGTGAGATACCGTGAATGCGTTGGCAAAGGGACTCCGACCTGTCCGTGCAGTATAGTAATTGAGTGATCTTGTTTTGGACGAACAAGGGTCTTTGTGCCATTTCCTATCTGGTCTTCATCCATCAATGGATACGCTTGGGACCCCCCTCGTGTTTATCTTTTCAGTACCTTTCCCCCCTCCTTCATACACACAAAGGGAATTCTTCTATAAATAGATTTCGCTCGTTATTCCACGTTTCCTTCTCCGATTCCTATCAGGCCAAGAACTACAGTTGGGATGGAATCGGCAAAGGATGAGAAAATCGAAGTTAGAGATCCATTGAGGCGCGGAGCAAACAAGATGAGTCTCTCCCGGCAAATGAGAACTGTAAACAGGGAAAAAAGTAAGGAATCCAGCTGGGTCCTTTGTGCGAGCTCAATGACCCGATCAGGTCCAGGTCTCGGATATCGAAGCGTGACGTACTAAACGCGACAACTTCAACATATATATATATATATTTTTTTTTTTTTTACTTGTTTCCCCTTCGAAATGAACGACGATCCGTCTTGCTCATGCCGAAATTCGGGCCTCTCAGCGATATCAGTTGCAACCCTAGCCTCCATATCATGTCGACATTATGAGCTTTCTCGAGATTAATCTTAGGTTCTTAATCAGTTTCGCCTTTCTTATTATATCGGTTTTCCATCATCCTACTTGGATTTCGGCCAGCTCGGATTTTTTCCTCGGTCCAGGGCCGTGGAACCAGAATGAAATGGGGCATAGAGTCGGAGTCGAGCGTGGAAATTGAGATTCCGTTTCCGATTGAAATAAGAAGAGAATGACTGCAGGAAGTTGTTTGCAATAATGACTGAAGGAGACCCGATAAGAAGCTCAGAGTAGCGGCTCATCCAAGATTCATATTCTTGTAAGAGCTTCTCAGACCGAAGCCCGTTTCCATTCGGAGATTAGAGGGAGGCTCATTTCCGCTCCTTCGTAATCCCAGATCATTCCGAGGGAAAGAAAGCATGTCGAGGGTTGTGATTTGGCTGCGACTCAAGGTAGGAAGAAAATCCTTACGGGTTCGAAATGAAGTTCTTGCGTGCTGATCCCGCAATCTATCATGCATCGTGTTTCATGATTCATCGGCGGGTTATTAGCTTCTCTAGCCATCATTTCCTTCCCTTAATTAACCGGGTTCCATAACAATGCATCGATGCGAGACTGCGAATCGGGTCTAGCCGCATGAGAACAGCGCGAAGACCGAAACGGGGTGAGTAGGAATATGATATGGGAAGAATATGCTAACAAGCAGAGGGCTCGGCATGTGTCGCGGGGAGACGGCAGGTCTGTCACGAGCCAGCTGTGTTCTTTGCTCGGGTCTTTCCTCCTATTTTTTTTCTTCCTCTTTTGCTCTGTTCTCTCTTGAACCCTTTTCGAGTTTCCTCTGTCGTTGTCTGCTGGCTGGAGTAACCTCTTTTACAGCACATAACTGCCCATTAACGACCCCATGTTCCTTGGAAAAACTACTCTTTGTTCGGTGGATCAGGATAGGAACTCCAGGGAACAATTCATCTTCTATTTGATCTTCCTTCATGAGACCTTCTTCATTTCTTCCCCAGATTATCGTAAAGTGGGACCACTTGGGACAGATTTTTACTTGAAAATTTCCCTTCCATCAGTATTAATTTGCAAGCTAATATATTTTTCAAGCCCCTCCTCTTTACGGTACTAAAAACTACTCAGTTTTTTTTATATAAAAATAATTGTTGCTCTATATCCTTAAAGCCTCTGTCATGTATACAAATCTGCAATCATTCTTGGAGCTGAGTAGCAAATGAGACTCAAGAGTGAGACAACTATTCCACAATAATCCTGTCTTAATGTCTTAGCTCAAGAGTTGTTTTTACCCGAATATCTTTCTATCATTTGAAGAAGCAAGGAATGTGTTCATGAAAGCTCATTTGGCACACAGACCATGATAGTATGTTCCCTTGACTGCGGATTTAGAAGTGATAAGTGGATGTGAGTAATGATGAGACCTGTGCCCATTCCATTGGCTAAAGGGCGAGCTGGAAGACGGAGTGCCGACATACTTCGGCTCCTTTCGGCGGTGCAATTATCCGCGCTTGACGTCACCTGGCGAGACTCAAGTCGTCTTCGAATGTGGAAGATATGCCAGGTTTGTTCGCTCATATCTGCTCATTGACTGTCGGTATGGCTCCCTTAGCAGACGCGAGGGAGATCCATGTTACGTGGCTTTCACAAGTGAAACTTGATCGTTATAAGGCAACTCTTCAGGGATGCCGGTGTCGTATGATATTTTTCCCCCCGTAATATTTCCCCCATCTCCCTTAATGGAAATGAAAGAAGTTCGTTTTAAAAAGTAGAATTGTAAGTTTGTTGATTGCCAAAAGAGAATATAATCTTTATTGTCAGAAACTGATCAAACGAAATCATAGCAGAACATCCTCCTGCAAAGGACGATGTTCCTCCCTGCATTCATGTCAGCTGCCTTCATTTGCCTTTTACCTCCGGGGGCTTGAATCTTTGATGTGGTTTTGAAGATCGTCCTGAGGAGTCAACACTGGCTTAGACGTTAGCGAGGCAGATAGAGGGGTAAAAGGAACACTAAAAGGCGCGGAAGAAATAGCCGCCGAGGAACGAGGCGAAGTTCCGTCATTTCCATTAATGCGGGGGGGGGGGAATATCATACGACACCGGCACAAATGTGGACGTTTGACTCAATGCATTTTGAATTGGTCCAAAACTGACCTCCAACTGCTCAGATGCCATAGATGTTGCCAATTTGTCCGGGGTTTTCATTGCAGTTGGTATCCCCAGCTTGCAAAGTACTTTACTCCTGTAATATTTTTTTTTGTTCTGTGTAAAAAAGAATTCATCCCTGAAGAGGTTAAGAATCGCGTGAGGTGTTAGTGCCCAAATTGTTCTGAAAGAATTATAAATTTGTGACTAAAATACGTGTTTGACTTAACACCAAGTTATATCAAGAAGACTATAGAAGCCTAAATGGTTGCCATCTAATTTGGATTCACGATGCGGACTTCATGCAGATTCCTATCAAGCTGCGTGCAAGCGAAGAGGGGTGCGCTGTATAGCTTTGAGAAATTGAGAATGGAAACACTGGTAGCATTTAATAGCAGGCGCTTCTCCAGACACGTACTAACAAGTCGAATTTTAATTATCATAACATCTGGGATATTTACAATGATCATTATACTAATGAGATACCTAGTACTTGAGCACTTGCCTCGGAGGAAGAACCATGCATATGTATTGGGGCCCGACTTTAATTGTTCTTTAATTGTCTGCTTCGAAGTTTGAGAATAGTCGCCTTAACGTGGAAAAGAGGAGTGGAAGTCCATTCCAAGCCAAAGACATGGGCTTTTCACATTAAGTGTCCAATTCGTTAAGTGCAGAAGAAAAGCACATTAGAGGAAGGGGGAAGACAGGGGAAGAGAAGTAAATGGAGTCGCAATGCAACCATCCTTGAAGGAAAAAAAAGCGCTTTTTCAGAAAGACAGCAATGCCTCTCCGTGCAGGTGCTCGTGCATAACATAACGGATGTGATTTCACTTCCGCGTATCTTCAGGTCCATGAACTTGATCTGATGGCCACGAGCTCGAAGTTCTCCTTTGTGCTGAATGGCTTCCTCCTCGCTCTTCCGACTGTAATAATAGTTTGCTCGGAGAAAGCCGCTGGAATGATAATCACCTTCGTACCCTGTACCCATGCATTTGACATGACTCCCCTGTTGCAGCTTCAATGCGATCCCGAGTCTGTGGTGGAGGATCACGACGGTGAGCGTGGGGGTGGGTGCGGGGCTGAGCCTCCTCATCGGAGTGACGGCTACCTCTGCCTGCTGCCTCTCCAATGTTGTCCACAAGACCTCCGCACGAGTCATGGGATCCATTCAGGCACTCGCCGGTGCGTCATGTCTTTTTTCCTGTGGGTTGGTGGTACCTCATGGCAGGATTTAACCTTTCCAGTTCTACCAGTGTTTGAGGGAGCTGCAGGCCAGGAAAAAAAAAAGATCGTAAGTTATCTCAGCCGGTGCGTACTTAGAGGCAGACCATAAAGGTAACTTGTATTTCGCGGAGTATTTCAGTGGTACAGTATCATTCATCGAGATTTTTCAAGGTTTGATCCTTTGCTCAAGCAGGGTTTGATTCTGGTTATGATTCGTGGTTTTTCGTTCATATCTTTTTTTTTTAATACCTTCCAGAAATCGATTCTGCAAAAACCTCTCGGGATTCGATTCTTTGATGAGCTTTAGGGGTTTCATTCTTTTCATTCGAAGCGTAAAAAAATCCCTTGAGAATAAGATCCCCAACTCCGATTGCAAACATGGAAAATTGAGGATTCTGCTCATTCTGGCGGTAGGAGGAGTCTCCATTTCCTCTTCTACAAGACTAAGGAAGCGGAGGCTTGCCCTCGAAGTGGTCACTACAAAGTCACTGCAACGTTCCGCAGTGCATGCTGAAATCTTTGTCACATCAACGAATGATATCGGGTGTCCAGTAACATTAGCCTCTTTCCACTCGTTGAGGAAAAGCTTAAACATAGACCGTGGACTTGCTCGAAATCGAAGTATGAACCACTCACACATGAAACCATACGCCAAGGCATCAATCGTTTCGATATCTTCCATTGGCTGTTGAAGGAAGAGCGCAAGAGGCGCTCGAAAAGATCTTGATCATTCTGTAGCGTTTTTCGTCCGATCGACTTCGAGCCTATACTGTCAGCATCAATGGAAGTCCCGTTAACACTAGCGTTGTCTTGACGTTTCGATCTTGCTTGAATATGTATTTTGATTTCGTGCAACAATAGGGCCCGTATTGTTCTTTGCTTCTCCTTCAGAAAAAGGGAAATGTCTCTCAACACTCCTACTTATGAACAGCGGGAGAGGCTTTTAAAAGTTTAACGGAATTGTAACGTCGCAGAAAGAAAAACGTCTGAAGACAGTCATTACTTTCCCATCATTTTCCCATTACACTTGGACCGAGGGGATACGATGGCAAAAGTAATGGAAACGTAACGTCGTGGGGTTTCATCCCAAATGTCATGTCGCTATAATGAAATTTAATGGGTGACTTGTAATGAATCGTTGTCTTAATGCCGATCATATAATGGGATAAAATTGACATGCCTGACAATGGGAATGGAAAAAAGTAATGGGAGAATTATGATCGAAAAGTTACGCAACCCTGCCTTGGTACCATCGAAAGAAGAGACAATGAAACTATTTATTCAGCGTATATGAAAAATGAAACATTTTGCACTGACGGCAGATATGGCACGGACTGAGGCTGCTTCAAGCCACATTCACTGCAGAAACTCCCACGCTATATCCATTCGGCCGCGCGCTGCATTGTTAGTCGAGATGGAGGTTCCGTTCCGTCTGTCTGTCAACATGTATTGTCTAGTGTGAACAGATGCCTTCGAGAACGAGCCATTTTCAGCAGATGCTGTAAGCAGTGCGCGTTCAAACTGAAATGATGAGTGGTACTCATGTGGAACTCCGTTATCGTGGAAGAAAAAGTTTCTGTCACATCTCTCGGTTATGGCTAGGTTTTTAATGGTGTTGTGCGACTTATTGATCACCTTGTCGAGTAAGATCATTTTTGTTGCATGGTCCCGCAGTACTTGCTCTAACTCTATTCTGCAAGTTCCCTGAACCAGTGGTCGGCTCCCTTTGGTTGACTAAGTGTTCCACGAAAAAGGTTGTGGAAGAGGAGTCTGGTTCATTGTGGTGAACGGGTCATGAAGGGAGACGTGATGAGGACTTTTGCCATTATCAAGTGAACATTCTTTGTGTTTCCTTCTGGGGATTGGGAACAGGGTGCTTGGCTCACATGTTGTGCCTCTCAATGAAGTGAGTGAGGAGAAACGAAATAAATTTACCCTGCTATTATCTTTTCCCATAACCTTACCAATACTTATTGTTTTTCCTTTATTATAATAAAAAAAAAATAAAATAAAATAAGCAACGGAGCTTCGATAAAATGCCAAGAATTCTGTTACGTTACCGTTTCACTTAAAAACCTTATCCGGGCAACGGACCCATTTGCCCATTCAGCATATATCCTCATAATTCTCGTGTGTGTGAGTGGCACAAGCGATTTCACGAAAGGCGGGAATCCATTGAAGAAGACGAATGCAATGGACTGCCATCGACAAGCCGTAATGAGGAAACTGCAGGCCCTTTCTGAGCTTGTTCGCTATGACCGTCGCAACGAATCAGTACCATGGAATAATAAGTACGAGTGGGATGACATTGCTTCCAAATCATCCGTACTCACCGGACCTCGCGCCTTGAGACTTCACGCTGTTTCCCAGATGGAAGTGTCTTATGAAAGGCGAAAGGCCGCCGTTTCGACGACTCATACCCTCTCCAAGCAGCTACCACCAACGTATTGAAGGAGGTTGCCAAGAATGGGTTACAGCAAGTGTTCTGAGCTATTTAGAAATGTTGGGAGAAGTGTACGCAAGTCAAGGGAAATATTTCAAAAAGGGTCATACCGAAACCTAACTACTGTACATGGTTTGCTCGTATGAAGGCCGGTCCTGGACCTTTTTGATAGACCCACGTATATTCACTTGTACCAAACTTTCGAAGAAACCACGTCGATGCTTGGAGGATTAAAATTTGAGTCACGACAGACGAAGTTCAGAAAAGTATTTCTGCTCTTTGGAAAAGTTGTAATATTGAGTACGCGTTGAACGTGAATATCCCACTTTTCATCGAAATAATAGGAATATGTGGAAAGTGGAAGACAATATCTGCAGTTGTGATCGCTAGATACCCAGGCTGTTGAAGCAAGCATAATAGATTCTTTTTTATGTTTCTTCAATGGCGTCAAGTTTTGCCTTTAAATGCGAAAGGAAAAACCCTTCTGCTGAAGTCAACCAAGGAGTCCAACGATTGTCTGAGGAGTAATGGTGTATTGAATGGAGTGATTATCTTTTTATTCTGTCTACAGCTGCAACGATCAGGTTTCTCTGCGCAATCTGAGAATGTTTCGGGTCGGCAATTGGTGATTCTTGTAATAGGATATGCTTCGCAGCAGTATTATGATGAGACTGGTGAAATCAATACTGTATCCCGAGTGCAGCGACCAATCATGCCGTATGAGGCAAAGCAAAAATACAAAAGGAGAACAAACAAGTTGGGTCAGTCTAATTCAGCAATGGAACGATCGATGCTTCATGGCAAGAGTGTCATTAATTTGCATCAATTTGAGAAAACTTTATCGTTCCTGGAGGGACCGTCTTCACCCGCCGCTCAGCACTCATCCTGCACATTCGCAACCTTCAAATTTGCGATTTCATCTTTCAGGACCAATCTTCATGTTAAAAATAATCTCAGCTTGTAAATGCTGTTCGTCGCCCACATGTTTCCATCACCCGAATTTCACCTTGACGAATACTTTTTATTATTATAATGAATTCGTCAAGGTGAAATATATTAAATTAAGTGTCGGACTAGGTAATTAGGATCTGACGAACACTGACAAAACGGGACTAAACGTTTTGTGGTTCTCTCTTGAAATGAAGCCCCGCTGAAAATTCCTGAGCACTGACTAGCGACCCGTTGACGTCGGATCAACTTGCCCGTGGCCGTGCTGGCTTCTAACTGCAGGCCATCGTTCATATGATTCCTTTTTTCTGTACCCTTCTTAGCGAGAAGAGCTTGGGTGAGTGGGTGACCGAGCGCTGTTAAGTATCCCCTTGGAAGAGTACTCAACGCAAGCAGAACTTATGGCGTGGGATGACGGCAATTGGCAATGGGCCACTCAGTTCAATGAACCGATTCCAATTGCTTTCCATCTTCACGTCAAGCCTATCCTCTGAGAAGTTCTTCTGATAATTTCAATATTAAGAAAGAAACTTTACGTAAAGTTGGAGACTGATGAACTCCGCGCCTTCCTCTTTTTCTTGAATAAGTGTAAAAATGTAAGTGATATATCGTTTCCTCACGATAGACATCTAGTGGAGACGGAGAAGCTCTGAAATGGACAGGCATCAATTTTCTTCCTTTGTTCCTTGCTGTTTTGCCTGTTTCAATGCTAGCTTCTTCACAGGCGAGAGTGAAATGTCTCTCTACCCGGTGCAACTGAGCTCTATAATGCGTGGCAACTGAGGCTCGGAGGTTGAGGTGAACCTCAACGAGTTGTTGAGGTTGTTTCTCTTCAGATTCGATTTTGATATGAATTCACTATGGAAATTTTCCTGCGTAGGCGATGTATCCGCTCTTTCTATACTCTCTCTCTCCATTCCTGAAGAGTTCCTCATAATCGACTTGCCTGGAGAGGAAGAGAACTAAATCATTTTCAATATGCTTTGCTCCTTCCATTTTGCTCGGAGTGGTATGGAACATCGATCGAGTTTCCATCCGAACTCCTGCAGGAGTTTCCCGGACGCTTACTCTGTCTGCTGAATGACCGAATCAGCCGCAAGTTGCGAAGATATAGACATATCCTTTACTCAGACAGTGACAGAGACTGATGATGTGTCCTTGACAACCTAAGGAGGACGCAAGTTCTGAAAGAGCACATATGGCTTTCCTTTTTTATATTTTCTACTCCTTTCTTTGTGGCGGGGGGAAGAAAGGATTGAAAAATAATAGGAAGGGAGTAGGAGGATTGGAGATGCGATCCTTGTCGAACTGCTTTGCTTCATCGCGTCTTCCGCTTTCCGGAGATCCGGCCCACTTCCTTCTCCGTTCAGCCTTCCGTTTCCTTCTCCTATTCTTCGTTGTAGGTGGCCTGACTATTGAAAAGGAAATTCCTCAATATACCTTAAGGGCTGTAGCAGACACCGTAGCTTCATCATTTACATAAAACATGCGTGAACCCCCGGGGATCTGCATGCCTGGCCATGAAAAAATCTCTGCTGGAAAAGTCAAAGGGATATGTTAAGCATGAGTTCATGAAAAAGAGTCAGGTGATGTTTTTCTCACACTTTCATTATGCAAGCGACCAGGAGAGAAAAAAATAAAAGTTTGAAAAATGAGGGAGGTCAGGGATTGGATTGGAAGGACCGCCTGGAATGGACACAGGATAGGAGGGACATGCAGATCGATGGAATACCCTCTTCTTTCTATACAACCGTTCCATTCTTCACAGAGACCCTTGTTTATGCCTTTCTCTTCCCTTTCCTGCTTCGTTCCATTTCCACCCCTGTGAGTCTCAAGGGAGGGAGGTGTTGGAGGGGAGACCCCGAAGTTGGGCTGTATGAAACCTAGTCTCATTGATATTCCGAACCCATAACTAGTCTAGAATTCTAACGTCGTGTTGTAGAGAATTTAATCAAATCAGCCTCTTCAGAGGAATAATAGAACCGTTCTGTGGTCTCTCTCTCTCTCTCTCTCTCTTACACGGACACGTACTCTCTTTGTGCAATTTTAGCTTTCCATCAAAATTCGTTAATTTTTTAAAATACTGACTGTGCAAGTGGTTGGGGCTATCACTGGGGCTAACTTTTCAACAGAGAAAAAGAACGAATTACTGGATGAAATTGTTTATCCATGTTGACGATAATGTTGCCGGTATTCTTGAGCTGTTTGAAGAAGTTAGTGGATGGTCTGCCCTCTAAGCAAGCACGGTTACTGCACAGCAATTGCTGTGCAACGGTTGCAGCAATATCGAGCGGCAAAAAAAACTACGTCTTATTGGCGCTTCACACTTTGCTGTCATGCGTCCTTTGCGTCAATGCTTGGGCAGGCAGGCAGACGCACGCGTGTCCACTTGCATTCTAATATTTTCACAAAACGCAAGGCTTGCGAGTGGAATTGGGATTAGTTCTATTGAAAACGCAAGCCTTGCGTTTTGTGAAAACCTTCGATGTAAGTGGACACGCGTGTACACACGCGCTAAATGTGAAACGCCCTTTGCAAGCGAGTGATTCAGCCCTGCCCTACCTTAGACTGCTCCAAATGATATCACTGGGCGTCTAGCCAAACGTGCGTTTATTTTCCAGTAAAACTCACATGTACTTCCGGCCCCCCCCCCCCCCCCCCCTTTTTTTTTTATTACTTTCGGCATTGGCACCTGCACTAGGCAATGTGTGAGATAATTACCAGCCATCGAAACATCGGCCAAATTCTTATACAGCCCTAACATATATCCATGCAGTTTTTGAGTTGGCTTGCGTTCACTTCGTGTATTGTTTTGTTAGAGGATGGAACAAGCTAAAATGCAGACAATGATTAGTGGTGACTATTTTTTTTCCCTCCTAGGATTGTTGATAGGAGCCGGCCTAGCGCTGTATCCACTGGGATGGGGGAGCAGTGAAGTTGAAGAGGCTTGCGGCGGCCAATCTGGACTCTATGCCCTCGGTGAGTTCCCTTCATAAAATTGCATGAGAGTCTGTATATCCAATCCTAAGGCTTGGGCCTTAGGATTCTCATTCCTGAGAAAGCCCGTGAGGCTTCTCGCCACGTGTAAGAGAAAATTAATCTGATTGGAATGCAGATACAATAATCTATGCTGCTTCGACTGCCTCTGGTGAGTGAGAGTTCGATGGGAAACCTGCATGGCATGATGTTTCCAACTCTACTTAGCCTTGCATGTGTTCATCTCTAGCAGAAACTAACTCACGATTTTATTGTAAACGTGGAATGACCGCAACGAGGCATGACACTCCACGAAGGAGATGCCCAAAATCTGGATGAAAAAACAACTTCTAAGCAGGTATTGAAAGAAAATCTAGGAAATGTTTACAGTAGCGCTAACCACGATACTGAAGAGGAGAATTTTGGGAACATGATTCTGAAAACTGAAATAAACTCATTTACTGTTTTACCCTGATGCAACTTCATGAAATGGTTCAGCTTCTTACTGTGCACTGTCTACTTATTAGACTTAATTAAGTGTAGGTGAGTATCTAATTAGGCAATGAGGAGTTTACTTATTGTTGGTGAATAAAGGGGATGGCAATGGAAAACAAGCTGATAGACTTTTTGAGTATGCGCTCATCAGTGAGTAAGTGAGAACACACTAGCCGAAGCTGTCTTTATGTTGAATCCTCTTCCATTGATTTGATTATACAAGCTTCATCTCCTTTTGAATAGTGTTTCTTAGTCACGCATTCTCCTTTGTCCTGTAAAACACAAAATGATCGTTTGTGATCAGGACAGGAGGCTCGATTAAAAAAGAATTACCTATTGTGCTGGTCGACCTCGACCTTTGGTTAGAGTGAATCTAATTTTCGTTTCGCAAACTAAAAGCTTACTTGCTTACCATTCTGTCATCGAGTAATGTTTTGGCTTTGCTTGGGCTCCGGTTTCTCGAAATTGTTGTAGGACGGTCGAAAGAATTTATCATTTACGACAATTGATCAAAGGTTGAATCCATATGCTTAGATTTATTTTCTTTCTCTGAGTTTTCAAATAGCTTCGTGAGAGAGGAGTTACTCTCTTGCACACGTAAGGGAAGTAAAACTGATTGATTGGGAAAGTCATCCCAGCTATTGAGGAATATGTACGCACTATTCTTGTCGTTGTCAGCTTCTGGAAAACCAGGATACCATCGTTCGAAACCGGTTTGTTGTCCGTCGACCCAACCCCATTGACCTGTACCCGAGTTTCTCAGGTAACCAATCCAGTACTCCTTCAACGGCGTTCCAGTCAGAGGATTGATGATGAAGGCCAGGATATCATTAAAGTCTGCTTCCCCTTCGAAGGGAAGAAGGTTGGCAGAGGGATGAATATCCCTGCATGCCACGAAGACATCCGCGAACGATGTAGGCTCGTCCATGAAGCCATAACAGTCAGACTCCACTGATTCCCATCCAGCCGGACAGTCTCCGAAGGCATCTTTCAGGCGGCAAATGGACGGTCGTTCCACGTTGCAGGCATCGTTGACCCATTGATCGACCCACATGATGGCGTATTTGTCTCGGAACAGGAAGTTCTCGTTCCAGTTCTCGAAATCCAATGGACTGCCTTCCAACCATTCCCAGAAGCCGTTTCCGTTATAAAGCCCTATCCAAAGTGGGACTCCTCGAGCATTCTTGCCTGCAATGTTTTCATAAAAATAAAAAATATGAATTCTTCCAAAACTTACTGAATCACCGTGACTAAATCGGGGGATTCAATCGGCACAATTACCGATGAATCAGTTTTCTGTGACCAGTTACCTGTCGGAACTGTTGATAAGCCGCCAGGCAGGTCATAATTTTTTCACAACGTTTCCCGTGAGAAAAATGCGCCTACTGTAGCACTTCTCACAAATATATATAATTCATTGGGATACTCCACTGATATACTTTTCTGATGGGATATTATTCCTCCCCGAGCCCCGCTAGTTGTTTGCCCGTATCAACTCAAATTTTGACAGGACAGGAAACGTAGCAGACCTTCCCCGTTCTGGACACATTCTGACAGTCGAACAGAAAATTAGACACAGTGCAGCACGCATGTTTCTTGCAGCTGACGGTTTCTCCGATCAATTTCTTCCAGAATTGTCGAGCGGTTTCCGTCGCATTCGGAGCAATCCGAACTTTTGCATCTCGCTTATCGATGATCAATCACTTATCAGCCATTTTCCTCAAGCCTCCATGAATTGGAATCGATCACAGCCAAGGCACGCTAACTCTCACACTCGAACAGACTATTGGATGCGGTGCCGCAAGCATGTTTTCACGTGCCAATGCCTTTGCATAACCCCCAGAATGGGAGTTTATTCCAAATGATACCATTAGCAAAATAATGCAAAAATCCTTCATTCGATGCAGAATTGTCTAATCTTTCGAATAGTGAAACAGCATCTCGATGAGATCAAGCGTTGAGAAGTTATTCACGTTCAAAGGGTGGGCAGGACTTTTGACTCACCCTGTATTAAGATCAATGAATTCCCCACCTCGCTGTCCCAGAACCGTCAGACTCGAAAGTGACGAAAAGAGACCCGGATATCGAAGATCGGTGGAGGAATATCCCCACAATAAATGTCCGTGTCCCCAGTGCTGGGCCTTTAGACGCTAACTCGATCGTAGAGGCAAGAGGGATGGTACTCCACTTGGAAGTCCGTGAAGACGAGCGTGACCCCGGCGCCCGTAAGGACACTGATGTTGTTCTGGCACCTATCGTTGTTGTTGTAGTTCTTAGGGTAGTTGGGGAGAAGGACCCAACAAGGTCTGTCAACACCTCGTCGCATTCTGCCCCTCGAGCCCTTGCAGTCCAAACGGAACTCAAACTCACCATCAAAACCACGGCACAACCGATATTCACCATGTTGATGGTGATCCTCTCACTATCTCTTCTCAAAGGAGAGTAGCTACCTATCGCAAGTTTATCAACGTTTTTGGCCAACATAAATTTTGCGA